AGTCCGATAGAAGGGTTGCCGAATTTTTTATCGTTTCTATCTTGTTTAACATGATAATGCACTCCTTGTGTATTATCTTTTATTTTTGATTTATAAAATTTACGTGATTACCTATAAAAAAAAGTACTTCTTTTCAAAGTCAAATACTAATTTTAACCACACATTTTATGAAACCCACAAACCCTACTCACTTATCAACCAAAGTAAAATTTTAGCAACAAAAAAGGAAACCCAAACAGAGGCAATAATTCATATAATTTATATTGTCTTTTAACATTTAAAATTCAAAGGTGCCAATAAGACCTAACCCAAGTGACAAAATTAAGGCCATGGAACAACAAGGTCCAAGTCCTTGAATACTCAACTTAAACGAATGTGAAAGGTTGAAAGAGGTTGAGGGAAGGATGGAATAATCTGCCATATACAAACTTGAACGCGCAAATGGAAATAATTTATGAATTCATACAAAAACTTCCACTGTTTGGGATTCATTTTCTTCTCCTTAAGTACTTCTTTTCAAAGACATACATTAATTTTAACCACACATTTTGTGAAACTGATGAGTGCAATTAACTCATTAAACAAGTTCCTTTATATCGTAGTTTTGAGCACTTTTGAGCATTTGATGTGTGTGTTCGTGTTGTTTTATAGTTTGACAAATTGGATGAAAACGGAGTGGCGTAGGGCTTGAAATGAAGTTATGATGATGATCATGGAAGGAGGTATGACATGGAGATGAGAGAAGAGAAAAATGAAGTGGAGAAAAGACCAAAGATTAGTGGAGAAGAAGAAGAAGAACGCATTAGGGGCAAAATGGCCGGCGCCCAAAGGAAAACGCCAACAAAGAAATCGCGACGCCGCCTTCCGGGTAAAGGAAAAAAGCACAATTTTTAAAAGATTTTCAGCCAAGCCCACATCCAATTTGTCTTGCAACCTTGGGGAAACATAAATACACATTTTTGAAGACCTAGTTGACGGCTAGAGGAAGGCAAGAAGATTGAAGACAAAATCGGGAAGAAATCAATTGAAAACAAAGGAGATTGACAATTGGAAGAAGAAATCAAGCGGCAACGAATAGTTTTTCTAAATCCTTTCTTTTTATCCATGTTATTCAAATTTAATTCAATTATGTCAATTTTCTTCATTATGAACTAAACATTTAGATCTAAGGTCTGATGTAATCAACTTGAGTTGTTTTATTGGGTAATGAAAAAACCTTCAAAGCTTTGTTAAACAAAAGTAAATGGTGGAGCTGAAAGGTGTTGAGTTATTAGAAAACTCTCCCAGTCACAAATCCATAGCTCTGTTATCACCGCCTTCATCCACCTTCCACTGCCGCCATTTCGCCGTTCCTAAAATTCAGATAAGGGGTTGCTGGTGTGGGTCTGAATTGCTATAATCGATGAATCAGAAATTTACTCCCTGATTTAAATTGCTCGGCTAATTAGCTCAAGGTAAATCAGAATCGGCGCACTCAGTTAGAGAAGACGACCAATATTCTTGCCTTCGACAGCCGGCCCTTCAACGTGTAGAAAATCGACTGCAGCTTCTCTCCCAAGAATCCAAACTTTTAATTTCAAGGTGTATTAGATGGAAGAAGATAAAACCGGCCTCACGCCACTCACACAGTCACTCTTTCAGGCGGCGGCCCTAGGTGGAAACCCTAGTGATGCCGCCCCAGATCTGCAGGTTCCCGGCCCCTCCTCAGTACACGCGCCGACAGGTGGACTGGGGTAGGGATTCCGACTTAAGGGGGGTGGTCTGGGAGTGCCCTGCCGAGGCACGTGTGCCGGTGCATAACCTCCACGCACCGGCGACTAGGAAACGGAAAATGCACCAGGAGGTCTCCGGTCTAGCCACGGCACCTATTCTGCCATTAGATATGCCGATTACACAGGGTTTGGGTAAAAAGTTGGGGAATGTTTATGGTTTGGTGTATGATCGTCGTTTTTGAGTTGAGGCGAAGGAGT